TTAGCCACACAGATTGGTATCAACATTGGCCAAGTCGGATATACAATCTGAAAGTAAAAAATTAGATGTAAGTTTGACACCGATACCCTGACTCAAAATTTCCCGCCCAATCAAAGCATCGTATTTGATGTAACTATCCTGAACTATATAGAAAAGAATTTGAAAGGAATGTTCGCAAATCATAACATTGGCCAAAATCTGTAGGGTGTTGCAAACCGTTTTAGTACTAATACCCCTTAAAATAACTACGTTATTTATTCTGGATCCAGACAGCTATAGCGCGACGGCTTCCTTGATGAGCGAGCACTCAGCTCCAGAGTCAAAACAAAATTGAAACGACTTATCAAATTATTGAAAAGTTTCAAGTGGTTCCAGTACAGTGCACAGACTGTCGTCTTTAACATAATCCCTCTTGACCGGCATTGGGCGCTCCTGACGATCCGGACACACGGTAGCAACGTGTCCTTCCTTACCACACTTAAAGCAGATAAAAGTGGAGCGATCTCGTGAACACACCAGACGAGCTACATTCCGCCTTCTTGTGACCCTCTTTGCCGCATTTGTGCCATCGAATTTTGAAGAATTTGGTTTTCTTATTAGCAGGGGCTGGCAGGCAGTCGCCAGAACCGCGGCTCGGACCGGCATCAAAAGAAAAAGCTTTTAATTCCGTTCTTCCATTCCGTTTTTAATCCTGTTCCGTTTAATTCGTTCCGAGAATTAACTTCTGTAGTAAAAGCCAAACGTCGCAATCGCTTTTCTATTCCAGCCAAAAGTGCCAAAGCAACTGAAACGGCAATTAGCTATACCGTTAGAGACTTCCATCTGGACATCAGGGTTGTAACTATTCTGCATCCATACAGTGACAATGACTCTCCCTCAGTTGGGCGTCTCCGTTCCGGCGAAATACTGCAAGAATAGCCCCCTGAACTGCGTCCATGTGATCCCAGGGTAGCGTGTTTGAGCAAGCCAATGTGACGCGCTTCCTTCCAATGAGCTGCTGAGAGCCATCTCGAGAGCACTGCCTTCCAGTCTGTTTTCAAAGAGAATGTAATCCACCGTTGCACTTCATGACTTTGCATCGGCGTATGCACGATCAGGGTTAAAGCTCGGCAATACAACGGATACTGCGTCATTCGGAACTCACTGCACTACTTTTATGAGTTCCGAGAAAGTACGAGTTTGTGATTCCAAAAGCAATTTCAGATTATTTTCACTTTCGGTTTCATGCCTGCGTAATCCCACTTCTGATGACGTAGATTCACTTGAATTATTATCTGCTTCTGGATGCTCTCGTAGCTGCTTCAAACAGAAACGTTTTCTGGCGCGTGGCATGATCTATTCCGTTCCGGTTCTCAACTACAACTCTTCTTGTGTGTCGTTTTCTTACTTCTTCTTCACACTGCAAAACATTAAGTTCTAAGGACATTCCTCTATTCCCTTTTGAAGCGTCCCTTAACGTTGACGACAGATACTGTCGCCTAGATTTGGAGAGCGAAGAAACAGCACAGAAGCACATGAAAATAAATGGGAAGCGGGGACAAATCAAAGCTAAATTTCGTTATAATTTTAATTTTCTAAATAATCTACGACGTATATGTTTTTAACTGACGAACGCATTTGCTTCCGAAAAAATGGCCCCAAAACAAAATGCAATTGTCCGATATACACCTCAAGCGCAAGTGAAACGGGTATTTCAGGACTCAGAATCAGGCAAGCAACAAGCATAAAGGTCAGAATATTTGCCTCTGAGACCCGTTCGCCTGAATCACTGAATCGACGATAAGTAAGGTTAGTTATCGAGTACGATATGCTAAGGACCTTTCGTCTGCCATTAAGATGTTCGAGCGAGAGTAGTTCGATCAAGACGAACACCATGTATTGATTAAAATTTTGCTGCTTTCCATTATGATAGTAGCATTGACTACAGTCTTCATCCAGCTGTGAAAAATGAAATGAAAAATGGATAAAATGTGCACGTATTGCAGCGCACTCAAATTTAAGAACGAAACGACAGGGATGTCTTGCGCCAGTGAAAAAGTCAAACTGTCAGAATGATATTCACCAAATGAACCACTCTTATCGTTGCTTTCAGGAGTACTTTAAAAAATTTTATTGATACAGAGGCAGAGAAAAATTATATAAAGCCCGTAAAGGATCTTAAAAACATAACGCCAGTAGCCTCATCATTTCGGGTGATTTCATTTCACGGGTTGTTCTTAGGAACAACTTCCCCATTTTTCATATTAGATAACAACATTTGACGGGATCATAGGCTGCGCCTTGCTAACGCAAGTGGGAGCCACCCTCAATATGCAAACTAAAAACATTTTGTATGGTTCCTTGTCTGAGGACGTGGAGTTTCTTGATTCCGACAATGTAAACTTTACCAACATAAATGACATAGTCGTTCCAGAGTCAGTAAAACAGGAGTTTATCAAAATGATAAAAAAAAAATCTAAAGTCCTTTGCAACTCAAACCTTGCCGTACAACACAAATGTTATGAACCCATTTTATTAAAGAAAGTGTCCAAAACCTCGGCTTCATAATAGCCCGAAACGGGGCTACAACTGACGCTGAAAAGGTAGCAGACATTAAGGAATACACAGAACCGACAAGATTATTCTCACTTAGATCATTCTTAGGACTTGCCAGCTTGTATAGGTGTTTAATAAAAGATTTCGCTACAATAGTAAGGCACTAACCAACCTCCTTAAGGGAGAAAACGGTTCCCTAAGTAAACACATGTCAAGGAAAATACCAATAAATTTTAACGATCAGCAAAGAGACGCATTAGATAGTCTTCGAAACATTTTGGCATCAGAAGATATCACCCTCGAATACCCAGACTTTAAGAAACCCTTCGATCTAAGGCTGTACTGCCGCAAGGCAAAAAACTCATAACGATGATTTCCAGAACCCTTAGATGACTACGGCGAAAAATTCATATACACTCCGGGCAAAGAAAATTTTGTCGCCGACTCCCTTTAGCGACAAAAAATTAAGGCCCTTCAAAGCGAACCCGAATCTGATTGTGCAACAGTTCACAGTGAAGAATCTAGCACTTATACGATAGAAACAACGGAAAAACAGTGCCTGTAAATGAAACTTTTTTCCCCTTCGGAGTCCACTCGCAGTATCTTCTATATATATAAAAATTACATATATTTCACAATTTACATACATTCTTACGTAAATCACCTTAGAAAATAAACAAAATGTCAAATTTAACTGTAAGAAAGGGCTGCCAGCTTAATTTCTAGACGTACAAACCAACGTACACTTATGTAGACACGTACAGTGTCATACGGTCATACATTCATTAGACCCGTTACTCGTAGAGTAAAAGGGTATACCAGATTCGTTGAAATATATGTAACAGGTTTCCGATCCTACAAAGTATATATCTTCTTGATCAGTATCAATAGCGAAATCGATTAAGCCATGTCCGTCTGTCCGTCCGTCTGTCCGTATGAACGCTGAGATCTCAGAAACTATAAGAGTTACAAAATTGGGATTAAGCGCAAGTTTATTTCAGCATCCTGCCACGCCCACTCTAACGCCCACAAATCGGGAACTATTAGAGCGTATCTTATAGTGGTACCATTATCCGGCCACAGCCACTCTTACGCCCACCAAGCTTGAAATACGGTTGCCCTTTTTGTAGAAAAGCTTATATCTTGGTAACTATAAATGATAGAACGTTCGGATTCAGCATGTAGGTTTTTATGATGCCCCCAAAAGCCAAAAAACGAAAATTGCAAAAATCTCGGAAACTATTAGAGCTAGAAAGTTGTGCTTAAGAATACGTATTTAAGAGATGCCACTGCAACTTTTCACGACTTTTCATTCTGTCACCCCTACTTTCCCGCCCACAATTCGCGGAAAACTTTGGTGTTCATGATATTATTACGAATGCTTCCGTTTGATGTTATATAACTTATTTCCAAAACTAACCAAAAAACTTAGTTACCAAACATTTTATTAACAGATATAAGTTTTACAAGGTCAAACGAAGGCATTCATTATAATAATATAGACCCCACAATTTTCCGCGGTTTGTGGACGTTAGAGTAGGCGTGGCCGGATGAAACCGAGTGGCAAGTTGCAGTGGCATCTCTTAAATACGTATTATTAAGCACATCTCGTAGCGTAAAACGGTATACTAGATTCGTTGGAAAGTATGTAACAGGTAGAAGGAAGCGTTTCCGACCCTATAAAGTATATATTCGTAATCAGTATCAATAGCGAAGTCGATTAAGCCATGTCCGTCTGTCCATCCGTCCGTCCGTCCGTCTGTCGGTCTGTCCGTCAGTCTGTCTGTCCGTATGAGCGCTGAGATCTTAGGAAATTAAGTATATTTAATCTTGAGATGGAAGCGCATCTTCCAGCCACACCCACTGTTACGCCCACCAAGCTCGAAAGATGGTTTTCGCATTTTGTAGAAAAGCTGATATCTCGGTAACTTTAAATGATAGAAAATATTAAGCTTCTAGGTTTTTATGATGTGAGAATTGGTTTCTTATCTAGCCACTCCCACCCTAACGCCCACGATTTCTGGAAAATCTTAGGAACTATAAAAGCTAGAAAGTTGTGATTTACATAAAGGAATCCATACTGCTATAGAGTCTTGCGGAGTGGTGAGGGGGCTCTTAATGTCAAATTTGTTAGTTAATGTTTTTTCGGGTACATTCATAAAAGGCCATTAATTAATAGGCCATTAAACATTACCAGAACCTGCAAAAAAACCTACATTCAAGCTCTTGTGGTTTCGTTACAAGAAATGCTGGGCTCTACCTATTCCCAGATGCGTCAGGCTATACGCTAAGATCTATGTCGAGAAAGAAGTTGAATAAATGTGCCTTTAGTTATTTATGATGTGTCGGGAGTCTCTTTAACTAAGTGAACTAAACTAAGTTGTTCCTTATAATAAGCGAATTTGTGCAGTAATAAACTTACCACTTAATATCATTAAAAAATGTTTATTTTCTATTTCTTACAGAGAAATAAAATCAGAAGAATTGCAAGAAGCAAAGAAAATTAAACTTGAATTAACGGATAGAAGTAAAGAAAATGAAATAATAAAACTTTTGAAAAAGCAAAATGATGACTTTTTTAAATTTCGTGATGAACTTAAAAAAATAATGAAAAAGATTGATATAGAGAAACTTTTAACGTGGAACAATCAACAGCCTATAACTGGTAACGCGGAAAGGTTATTGGATCAAGCCGCAGACTTGCTGACCTTTGGTGCTATTGAATCATGTTCTGAATGCGGCAGCTCACAGTTTATCTTTAATAAATCTGGATATATGTGTAACGGAAATATATCTGAGTGGAGCAAATGTTCAAAATTTTTAACCGATCCGACCAGATTAGCATGCAAAGTTCCAAAAGATCTTCAAATAACATATACCTTCTTAAATTTAGTACAAAAAAAACCAACTACACGAGTTTTCCGAATTGCTCCCAGAGAAAATAACTTTTGTAAAAATGAAATAACGAAGGAGAGCAGCGAATTAAATGGGTTAGTATACATTTTTTTAAATATTTATTTATTTTATTTGTTTATTTATCTAAGGCTTACAGTTAGTTAAAACTAGGAACTAACAAATGGCTAGGAACAATAGCATCTAAGGCCATCAGCTCTGTCAGTCTGTTAGTCTGTTAGTCTTTTGCTTTTATGTTTGGGTGCTGCGCTACGTAAACGTTTAGTAGAAAACACGACCTATGGCTGAGGCTGTCGAACGTGACCTGTCTTTTTAAAATTTCTATGTTTTCTATGGTTTTAATATTATGTCTGGTTATGTTTGGTTTGTCTTGGTTCTTTTATTATTCATTAACTGACTTTCCGTAATCTGATCCGCCTTTGGAGCAATTAATAGGTCGATTTTCGAATTATTTAATTTTTTAATACAAAAGTACTTTAATCATATATTAGTGTTTCTAGTTTGAGTTTATATGTTACTGTAAACTTAAGTACCTTATGATGCACGACATTCTTAGTTTGTTTTATAAACAAACATCGCAGATGGTCTTTTACCATGATGTTTTAGATTAATTCCAGAAACTTTAAAGGATTGACCTTGTGATGTGTTTTTGGTGATGCCAATTGAAGCCGGACCGAAAATCTTTTAAATCCAAGCGGCAAATTGGTTAGGATCATTGGTTTCCTCAGAATGAGAACATTGCGCCTTTAAATTTAATTACTTTTAATTACATTGCTCATCAATTTTTTAACCACCAATCGGGTACCGTTGCACAGTTTTGGTTGTTTTATATTTCGAAGCATGATGACAACGGAGCAAACTTTTAGGCGTAAATTGTGCGGTGGTAAGTCAGGCTCATCTATCCAAGGAGTTTAAAAATTGATTTGGATAGTTCGTGGTTTTATCTCCATTTGTGACGCAGTCCATAGATTTAAATGAGCATTCCGTTTCGTATTCCGTTTTCATTGGTATCGTTTCGGTATCTTCGCAGTATATCTTGCAATTACTGTTTGGAGGCACCAGAAAGTTAACTCATTGCTCCTCCAAAACATCACTAGTCATTCCGTTAATAATTCCATGTTCGGTAAAGTAAACTTTGGCCATTGCTGAATTTTGCCTAATATTATCCGTATGGCACCCTCCTAACAATGTGGCTGCTATTCCGAAAGAAGTAACTTCAACCGCTATGTTTGATCTCGAACAAACAGTGGATAAAATTATTCACATGAGGAATGTCTTAACGATTCCAACAGTCCATCCAAAATATAAATCACCGTTTCCATCGTCTATTGCCTTCATTAAAGAATCATAAACTTCCTTTTCATGGGAATTCAACAGCGGTACATGAAATTGAACTACTAAATCTAATTCCATTCATTTTCCTGTTTAAATTCTATATTAAATGCGTCTTGATTTCACGATTTGGTGCTGGCATTCCTAATCTGATTAATAAACTATCGCTTTTAAGGTAACACATGTCTTCGATCAAGAGTAAATTACGATTATGTATCTCCTCATTCACCTGAACATCGTGACTTCTGAAAGTGGCACGATTTAATGTAAAATATCTTCTGACATATTATCCTTATATTTGTGCCACAGGTCATATAGATTTGATGGAAAACAAGTCGAAATTTTGTTAGCGAATAAGGTTTGTATGGGTATGGGTATGGGTATCGTTTTCTAATAAGTCACTTCTATATATGTTGGGAATATTACACCATCAAAAATCCATAGTGTCCCAAATAATGCTGGTCAAGGCACATTTTCCAACAACAACCGCAAATAGAAACATTCGTCATTCTTTGGATGAACTGTACACATTAGTAGAGCATTGGTAAAACGATGCTTTGATGAAGCATTCCAAGTATTATAAAATAACGAGGGATCTCCTAGTAAAGCAAAGTTAGTGCAAACGGATCGTTTTGGCAGATCGCTAAAAGCATTGAAAGTAAAATATACTCGTTGACCATAACAGTAGGATGACGTTCGTGAATAGGAAATGGGGAAATAGGCCAAGTCGCTACAAGTTACATAAGACCAATTTGATAGCGTGAAATTTAATCGTTAGTATTTAAGGATTGCAATCCAAAAACCGCCATATCGCTTTACACACACATATTATGGACTTCACTGAATGCTAATACCTAACGTTGCGATGTATCTTAAACGTTTTAAAAATAAGTGGCCAATATAAAACAATCCAATGGTTGTTGACAACGAAATCCATTCTTTTCATTACTTTTATCGTTACTAGTGACGGTCTCCGTGATAAATTTCCGTGGATATCGTTTAGAACACTTTTCATCGACCATGCAAGGTGATTGGGGATTAACAACATCATGGCAGGTTGAATTTTGACGAATCATATATTCGTAATAATTCGTTTCGCTACCATTCTTTATAGTTTCTTCACCTAAACAGTAGATTTTCATACGTAAATGTTATGCAGGATTAATTAAAGGTTACTAGTCATTTGTCTAATAAATGAAAGAAATTATGATATTGATACGCGCCACTCTTAAAAAACCTGACAAACGCATGATGTTCATAAAGACGTTTCTGCTTTTGAGGAATTGATCGCTTTATTCCTGCATTTATCTCTCCACGTCGATCGATTTGTTCTTCCATGTTGTAAAACATTTGTACAAATTCATGCTGTGTGGTATTAAAGACACAATTCGATGATGAATACGACCATATATCTACAAAATGAAAACAAGTCAGTATTTTATACACTTTTTTCGGTGTATGAGTATAGTGAGCGTAATAAATATATATACCTTTATTGTCGGTTCCAGATGCCGTCATTTGGACGTCCGCTCAAGTGGCGGAGTCAACAATGGTCATTTACCTTTAGCACTAAAGCAGCATAATCCTGGCGTTTCTCCGAAAAACTTTAATGGACCACAATACTTGCAAACAACGTCCATTTGCCCAGTGCAAACGCTAGGATGCAAGCTAAAATAATTGCTGTAATCGTATCGAAACGATGCTCGATTCAAATGCTTCCTTACGTTGCTCTTGTGACTGAGAAGCACGAAGTCGAGCCATTCTAACGCGGTGCTGTTCACTCCTATACTCGTTGGCCATTCTCTAGGTGCACCACCAAATGCATTACAGTAAGATGACGTTCGTGAATAGCAAATGGGGAAATATGCCAAGTTGCTTCATTACAAATTACATTACGACCAATTTGATAGCGTGAAATTTAATCGTTAATATTTGAGGATTGCATCGGGGCATCGGCGAATTGGCACAAGGCTAAAATGGCACACGGCCCTCCACTGATTAGCCGACCGCCCAGCCAGTGTCTAGGATAAATCTTTGGTTGGTGTCTTGACTGAGAAACCCTTTTCGGGTATAGGTCATAGGATTCCAAGATCATTACATTACGTTCGTAAATTATTCCGTTTTCCCCAAGTGCTCACTACTACCCTAAAAAGGCAAAAATTTCGGTAATTGGGGGTCGCCATATAGACCCTCTCTACAAAAAAAAAAAAAAAGTGTGTTTCTGTCATTAAAAGCATTTTTCAAGCCCTTTCCAGGGGTATGCATACGATTGTAAGTTAAAAACTCCAACTTTTCATTAAAACGCTTAAAAATAAATCTTCACACCTCCGCGCACAAGCAGATATCAGCACACACTTGAGGGTTGGGGTGAGTTCGCACCTCCACGCACAAGCAGACCTGAGCGCACACTTGAGGGTAGGGGTGAGTTCTCAGGTGGACTCATCCAAGAGATAGCAAAGGGTCATGTCTTCCAGAAAACCAATAGAGGGAGGATCTTATAGAATACCTGACTCAGGCGCACACATACATACCGATTATCCGTTAATACAAGTATTTAACATTTTCAAATCAAGTCAGCTGTATTATAATCAGCCTATGTCCTATGTTCTAGCTACTTTCAGCTTAAGGCTTTAGAAATTTTAAATTGGTTCACGATCGAATGGATGTGCTGGCAACGTGGTTACAAGTAAATATATATATATATATATATAAAGGTAAAAGGTAAAATGTTTATTTCATAACGATAGTGCATGACGGTTTCTGACAGTTATTTCCCACACACCTGTATTTACATTCGTGGAACCATTGGGCATCGTTCTTATCAAGTGAACTTAGAAAGGGAAAATCTTTCTTACACGGAGATTTTGCAATAACTATCCCGCTGTCCGTAGAAACCATTAAATAGAATATTTATTACACTTGTCATTTCTTCCGCACACACCGATATTTACTTTCACTGAACTCTTAGGCCTCATTATCATCATCCGTTAATTTGTTCGCCATCCTTGTCTACCTTATCCTTCAATACCATATCACTGGCGTCTGGGGCTCCTATGTATACTCAAAACCAATACGATTGGTTCTAGGAGTTAAACATACCTGTATGCACTCCCTATTGGTAACATTAGGTGAATATAGTCTAGAGACTTTATAAATGACACCACTCGAATTGCTCAGAATCAGTTACTCAACGCCTCAGAACTACATTAAAAGTCTCGGTGCTTTATTGTGATTATCTTTATCATTTTCGTCGGTTTTTAAAAATTATAAACAGTGTTTACAAATAATATATATATACAAATACATTACAAATATTATAAAAACTTAAAAACTACATCCTTTAAATCAAAAATGGAGTCTACAATTGCATGTGATTTGTGTTCTATGGTTGTGAAGATGTGTGAGTTTAGTGAGCACTATGCCAAGTGTTCCAAACCTCGGAATGCCTTCGAGGTTTTAATGGCAAGATCTAAAACAAGATGTGACTTGTGCTACCGTATAGTCCCCAACTATAAATTTGACGAGCACTATAAGAATTGTGAAGGACCCCAAAATGCATTCAGCATTTTAATGAACAAGAAGGATAAAGGAAAACAACAGGAACCAGCTATTGTTTGAGACGATATTCCCTCAACATCAGCAAATGCCCTCAAGCGGATAAGAATGGATGAGGGTAAGGAACCAAATAGTCCTACAAAAAAGCTTAAGATTTCGGGATATACATAAGAGCAAAAAAGAGAAATTT